TTGTGTGAGAAAATAAAATTATATGGCTTTGGTGAAAAAAATCATAGTTATATGACCATTTGAAAAATTTACTCCGTAATTGTAAGCTTGTTGGGGAACAGTGAGTATCTCAAAAGGGAGTGTTCTTCATTGATTAAGAAAAGCTCATTTTTTCACTTTATAAAGAATGAGAAATTGACATTTATATGCTAGCCAGGCAAAAGATTGACATAAAATAGAGGCCTTTCTCCTTGTCGGCACATTTAACCCATATGTCTAGAGCCGTCAATATGGGTTTGACCCGTTGGGCCAGTTCAACCCTTAATTTGGCAGAATTGGGCTAGAATTTTTGAAACCCATTTTAAAATGAGGCTTTTAAGCCTAGCCCGAATAAGTTCGTGGCCCGTGAGGCTTGACCGAGGCTGGGCTGGGCCGGCTCGTGGGCCTAACAAAAATATTTATTTAAGATATAAAATGTATATTGCCTCTAGCAATGGAAAGTAAGAATTGGGTCTTTACTTAGAGAAACCAAAGCTTGATCTTAAGAAGTTTCAAGAGATGTATTGGAAGGACCATTCTAGAAAATATCCCGATCTTTCAGTGATGGCGCGTGATGTACTTAGTATTCATATGACCACTATAGCATTAGAATCAACATTTAGCATTGGTGGGCGTGTTCTGACAAAGTACAGAAGTTGCATCCATCGTGAAAATATCCCAACACTTATTATTACTTGAATTGGCTGCACGGCTTTTCCCAAACTCAAACTGGTAGTATTTTTTTTATGTGAATTTGAATATTATTAATTTTTTAAAATCTTATTATTCTTAATATTTAACTAATTAATATTACATATGAATTGTAGATATAGATGAAAGTGAAAATGTTAAGACAACCTTGTCATGAGCGGATTCATATGTGTTTGATAAAGACGATGTGTTGGATATTCCATAAGCGTCATGGACGTTCTCTTGAATAGTTTGTTTTGAGTTTTGATTTTTAGTGAATAAAATATAGTCTTGTATTTTACTTTTTTAGTGTTTATTGTGATATATTGGAACAGTATAAAAGTTATTAAATTTTACAAAAATATTTCAATAAGATATTGACTTTTAAATATTTATCCTTTTTTAGGTTAGAACTTAAAGAAAAAATATAACATTATATTTTTTTAAAAAATGGGCCGACCCGTGGAGGCCCGGCCCACATAAGGCTGGGATGGGCTGACCATTATAAGGCCCATCAAAATGGTGGACTAGCCCAGTCCAGTCCGTCAATTGCTAAAGCCCACATGATCTAGGTTGGGCAAACCCGACCCGGCCCATTGGCAGCTTAAGCCAAGCTCAATCACCCGTTATGTTCTGCCTTCTTCAATTGTCCATATGGTGTTGAACTTTTCCCCGAAAACATTGAAACCATGGCTGTAAAATCTGAAGGTTAAAAACGTGAATATAACATTGAATACATTGTTTGAGTTTGAAGTAAGACCCAAAAATACCATTGAACCTTGGTTCAAATTTTTTCAATTTGCGTGATTATAATTTGTTTCGATTGGGTGATACGGATTTTATTGAAAACATCTTAAGAAGCTTGAAGTTAAATCATGAAATTGTTTGGAGAAGATTGGAGGTAAATTTTAGCTAATTTTCATATTGAAAAATTCAAAGTTGAAGATGACTTCATCTGTGTATATTTTCCTGTATAACCCCTGTGTATCAATTTATATTCCTCCATATAGGAGTATATGTTTATTTCCTGTATATTATGTATATCTGTGTATATTCATGAAAATGTGTGTGATATATATGGATATACATAATATACAACTTGATATACACATATCACAGAAATATTTCATAATAATGTAATTTATGGGAAAATCAGAAATAGCCTGATTTGCAACTGGTAATTGAAAAATAGCCATAGTTTCAAAAGTAATCGAAATTTAGCCATTTTTTCATGTATAGATAAAATCTGAACAAAAGCACCCTTAAATCCGAAAAAATTCAGCATAATAGGCCGGAGTTCAAATATTCTTCATATGAGATTCCAGTATATATTGAAGGGGAGTNTCCCCCTGCTGTCCCTGGAATCATGGCAAGTTTCCTTCTCAATTTTATAGTTTCACTAATTTTCAATTCTGAAGGAGAGTCGTGGCGTAACTGGTAAAGTTGCTACCATGTGACAAGGAGGTCACTAGTTCGAGCCGTGGAAACAGCCTCTTGCAGAAATGCAGGGTAAGGCTGCGTACGATAGACCTTTGTGGTCCAGCCTTTCCCCAGATTCCGCGCATAGCGGGAGCTTAGTACAACGGGCTGCCCTTTTATGAGATTCCAATATAATGTGCTGGAATTTCGTAATGGAATTCCAACATAATATGCTGGAATTTTCTACGCAGGAACTACATAATTCGGCATATTATGCTGGAACTTTCCGCGTGCTGTAGTTCCAACATAATATGCTAGAAATTGATATGCATGAGCTCCATAATTCAACATATTATGCTGGAACTTCATATGTTTTAACAAAATAGTAGCTATTTTTCAATAACTTTGTAAATGTTGGCTATTTTTCAATTATCAATCCGACAACTGGCTAGCCCGCCAATATCCTAAGCTCGTATTAGCCCCATTGAGAATTCATATGCGAACTTTAATGCTAGCTTACGAGTGCCAAAACGTACTTGTCAAAGATTTGATACTATGTGGGGAGAAAATCTAAGGACCCATTTGTCCATAGATATTTTTTTTTTTCAATTTTTTTTTCAAAAACGTGTTTGTCCATGAAAGTTTGCAAGTTTTGGGAATTTTTTCAAAAACCAAAAAGTGGTCTTTTTCAAAATTTTCAGAAATTTTTGTTTCCCATCTCACAAAATTGTAATATTTTTCAAGTGAAATACATGTCCAAACATAATTTCTAATTCCAAATATTATTTTTCAACTTAATTCCAAATATTACTTTTTTTCAAAATTATATTATTTTTATGTCCAAACGCCCTACTAAATACCTAACTCAAAATCTTAAGAAAAGAGTGACCCAAGATATTTGTAAACCCTCGGAACCCTTACTCAATCCGTGTGAATTAACAACAATATAACTCAACAATTTGGACTATCTATTAAAGGAAACCAATAAGCTTGTACCAATGATATCATGCATCTTGGAAAAGTCTTAAATTTCTGAAAGAGATTTTCCATCCAGTTAGTAATATGGGACATATAGAATGTCAAGAATGGCAAGGAAAACATTGTCCTTCCTTTTCAAGTATACAAATGACTCCAACCATTTCTGTTAGGTCCAGCCTATGACAAAGATGCAAATGGTCCAATGTAACCTCATCAAACGCCTTAAATTCTGCTTCTTCTTTAATGCATTGGGGTACGAAACTTTAATTTGTTGCAATATTCAACTCTATCACCATCCATCTCTCATTTCTAGAATTTTCCACATTTATAATACGAAGGTCTAAATCATACCCTTGAGCCGTGGCACTTTCCTGGACCTTATGTGACCACATAATATTATATGTGTCGGGCTGACTTTTTTATAATGTGAAAGTCGTGTTATATATCAAGAGACTGTTTCGTGTAGAACCCACACAAAATCTTTTCGAGATAATCCAATTGGTTCTCGATTTTGTTTTTTCTTTTCCTTTTATATTCCCTTTCGTATGAGGATGAGGATGACCACTTCGCGAGTGGTGATAAAAAATCAGAGTTGTGAATCTAATTTCATATCGTCGAAAGAAAAAAAATCGTTCACAATGACATCCTTCTTAATCTTTGTATACGGGTGAAACCGGGGCTAATGAGCACCCCGATTTCCCGGTGAGTCAAAACGAAGCAAGGACGTCCTTTCGCTAGTCCTACTACAAGGACACGGTTCGAGCCCCATGACTCCGAAAAACACTACAAAGTAGTTGCACACGACTAGCGAAGGGTCGTGATATTCGCGCCCGATCGGGTATCACGGCGTGAATCTCGGCCCGTATTGACAGCAGATCAGTGATTAACGAAAAAAATTTTTTTATCTTTTTTAGAATTGTACTAGGGATAAAACTCTCCTACTATATAAAGAAAATAGTTTTTATTCAAGAAACACATTATAACACGTATACCAAGACAATATACATTTATTTTCTTTGTTTCTAAAGGTGACTCAAAGTTCTTAATTTTGTTTATAGTTCTTCATAAGTGTTTGGCTCCGAACCGAAGGCAGGCTAATTGTTAAGCTCATAACCAAGCCCGGATTCAGTACTACTACTGATTTGGATGTTCATCTATCTCTCATCTAACTTTATTAATCACTTGTATCGAATTAATCTACATATCCTTAAAACTGCGTATAAATTCAATTATTATCTATTTTTAAGAATAAACAATCTTATTTGAGTATTAATTAATTAGAGTTATTTACTTCAATTAAATAACAAAATTGACAAATACTTTGTTTAAAACATTGTTCGAGAAAACTTATTCTACAAGAAAAAAGAGTAAAGAAAGTTCAATGCTAGGATATTGCACAGTAAAACTTGGATAATACCTTAAAGTTTACAAGATCTGTGCACTTAAATGCATCAAATGCACGAAAATAAGAAAAATGCGGTATATATTATGATCATTCCGTTTGCCTTTGGTTGAGGTTTCCCTGGTTCAAGTTCTTGCTTCTTGTCTGCATAGACAGATTATTTGCCTGCTGCATATACTGCGCAGCCATCTCGTTATTGAACTCCATGTTCATTGACTGTAAGAAACCACAAAATAAAGAAACTCAAAAATTACCAAAACATAGAAATAATATATATTGGTTCAACGTTAGCTTTCTATAGTAGACCTAAGACGCAAGGAGTGATATTGACCAAATCTTCAGTTTTCAACCTTTTAAGGAAATATTAAACATATAAATAACGAAGCCAACTTTCTCTTTTTTAGAACCTATATATATATATATATATATATATCTGTACCTTCTAATCAAAATGTTGAAATTTTAAAAGTTATGAGGTGAAATATAACCTTGATCAAACACTACTTGAAAAAAAAAGAGTTAATTTAAACAACATTGTTGATTGGATGAAAAAAGGTATGTCAAGAGGAGTGTAACTACATATATCATATCATGTAAAGGATAACCTAAAACCTACAAGTAACCTCATATATAGAAAATGAGATCAGTTACCTGATAGCTAAGACAAGTTACTTACTGCGCGCAACGGATTAAAATACATTAATAGCTTAAAATTCTTAATGTTACCAGTGTATGAGTACTGAAATTTGTCAAGAACATAGGATTAACTTACTTGCGCTAGAAATGCACTGCGGGGGTCATTAAAAGGGAATGAATGGGTATCACTGGGGGCGCCAAATGCAGCTCTGCTTGCATTCGCATCGCCATTAGCTTGTGGCGGAGTAGGAATGGTCGTGGCCATGGCAAAGGCCGGTGACATGAAGGGAGGACAGGAAGTAGCAATTGAGGTTGGATAAATGAAGGGAGCAGTAAGAGACTGATGAGGAGTTGTTGCAGCAGCTGGAGCTAAATTAGCAGTCATATTGTTAAGCATTCCTGTTGTCATGCCAAGATTGACACCCATGCCACATTCTTGCTAGTAAAGGCATCTGAATATGTGGTAGTTGCATTAATCCTAGAGACAATGGAGGCATCATCATTTGAGACTCCATGTTTCTTGCATTGCTTATTAACTGAATTTGTGCTTGAAGCTGCTTTAAGTACTTTATGACTTCGTCCAACATTGATGCTTTATCTGTCTGTATAATCCACAGTTTTGTGAAAATTAAATAACCTTTAAGTTATTAGTTTAATTGTTATACACTAACAACATAAAAGTATCAACTTTTAACAACTATCAGGTCACCTAAAAGATAATCACGCAATTAAGTATTGTGCTCGTTACATGATGAATATGCGGAGAAACCGCATTTATCAGTGTGGCATTAGATATATATGTTGTAGCTAACTCACCTTACTTGCATTTGGCACCAACTTCTGCAGAGCTTTCATCTTCTCATTGATTCTATCGCGGCGTCTCTAAAACCCCCAAAAAATGTGATTTAGTACTTCATATTATTATAAGGCCTCTGCCAAGTTAAATATTTTTGGTCCATAAGGTTTTTTGTAAAGAAAGATACTGATAACCTTAACTATATAGTATTTGTCTAAAATCTCCTCTATTTCTATCTTAAACATCTCACTTAGTTAACAATGAACTAATTGGTGCAGTAATAGTGAATTAGAAGGGGAAAAAATTGTTTTCTAGCTAGATGTCAAATATTTTTAAATAAATTCAGTTTATATGGACAGGAAATAGTACTGTTTCACTACCTTATTTTCTGATGTTATATTAAGGTATTCATCCCTATAATTAAGGTGCATTAGATCCAACATACCCGCTCTGACTGATTATGAACAGCAGCTGTTCGGCTGCGTCCTAACGTGTTATGGGCTTTTGTTTCACGTTCTGTCTCCTTGTTTTCCTGTCACAAGTCATGATCCAATATGGATTGAGAATTTGATGATATGTTTATTTTCTCGAGGTAGCTAGATATACCACTACAAAATATTCGAAAGTACTATATGTAGTACAAGAACATAGCATTATATCATCATACTGGCTACAAAATATACATTTTTTAGTACAAGGATTACGAGAGTTCAAATTAGAAGGATCTAAACATTTTTTTTGTTGAGTGGGATATAAATTAGAAATATATTTTTAGGAACCATGTGAAGAGTTATTTAACTATCACAATTCTTTATACTTAACCATATCTAAAGAATGTTTTATGTTGGAATCATACCAATGGAGTATATGTTTACTTATATGTATATAGAAGAACGAATTATATTTCGTAGAAGCATGTAATGTTGTCACGTATAAAGGGGTTGTAGGTATGCTTTAGTTACAGTAGAAGGTAATCATAGGTAAATCCTTATGATAAATATTAATCGCTAACTTAATAAAAATGATAATAACTAACTTACTAATAAGTTAAATCTACATTAAAAGTATAAAAAAAATCTTATATCCTTATATATACAGTCAGAATTCTCTATAACAATATCTTTATATAATAGACATTCACTATAAAAGCCGAGTTTTTTCTCGGAACTGATTATTATATTATGTTATAATATATATCCTCTATAACAACACTTCACTATAACAGAAAAAAAATATCGGAACAAACGGGGTTGTTAATTGTTATCGAGAAGTTTGATTGTAAAAGTTAAATCCAAAATAAGAAAAGGAGATTATAATTAATCAGTACTAGTATAGTTGCACATATAGAAAATTACCAAGCCAGCAATATGACAGGCAGAATCCTCATTGAAAGTGGCTTTGGACTTAAAGCTGCGAGAAGACTCGTCAAGGGAATGATAATTAGGCCATGTCATAACAGTGTCCCTAGCACTTGCAGAAGCACTAGGTTCAGCATGCTGATCAACAATATTCTTATGAAATTCTCCTACTAATCTTCCACTAGTCCCATATAATTGGGGGTCAGAATCTGATCTCATCCTCTTTTTTGCCACTCCACCTATTGTTTCTTGCTTCACAATATTCTCAGTATTGATGTTTGCCTTATTTTTGTCACTTATTCCCTTTAGATCAAGATTTTGCTTTTGGCAATTAGTGGCTTGATGCACAACAGACTCTAATGTGTCACTGGCCCTTTCCCATGTGTGTTTTGTTTGCTCATTGGGGAGGTTGTTTCCAAGTCTGAGCATAGCTAGTTGCCCATTTTCCCATGTTAGCTCTGCAACTTCACATTTTGACCTGAAATTTTAAATGAATTTGTTATCATGTGACCAGAAGGTCATGGGTTGAGTCGTGTAAACAGCCTTTTGCAGAAATGCAGAGTAAGGCTGCGTACGATAAACCCTTGTGGTCCGGCTCTTCCCCGGACTCCGTGTATAGCGGGAGCTTAGTGCACCGGGCTGCCTTTATGGAATCATTAGTGGGGTTATGATTTCTAGCAGCAGCACAAAAAAATCTTCTGGTTTTTCTTATTTACTGAGCATGAAACTTTGATTATTTGAACAAAGAGAATCAGATAAGTAGAAAGCAATAAATTAAGTTTCAAGAAAAATGTTACTACTTGCTATGTTGCTCGGACTCTCCAAAGATGTTGCTGGGTGCGTGTCGAATCCTTCAAAAGTAATGTATTTTTGGAGGATCCAATACGAGTGTGGCAGCATTTTGGAGAGTCCGCGCAGCATAGACTACTAGTAGTATAAGAGAACATACATGGGGACAAGATGATTCTGAGGTTGCTGGTTATGCACGTGTGGGTATCTGTTTTCCTCTTGTTCTTCTACTACTTGTTCTTGTCTTTGTTGCCTATGATTCCAATTATGACTCATTTTAATGCCTTTGACAGAGTCTAACTCTTCTCAGTGCCAGACTGCCACTCCTAATAATGAATACATTGGCTTACTCTCTCTTTTATACTAAATGTACTTAATGTCATTCTGGTCCCCTTTAGGAGATGTCATATTCAGCTGACTATATATACTGTATACACACCATGTATACTGTAGCAAGTAAAGCCTGGATTTCCAAATGGATAAGTTTTGGCTTCTTCCTCTCTACTGTTCATATCTGTCAACCTGCCTATTCATATATAGTAACTTGTATATTCTTATTCTGCCTATATTCCTCCTTTTACTAAATAGACTCTGGTGGGAAATTAAGACTATTCATCCACCTAAAGATCTGCAATATATGGAACTATTCTCTTCTTACCTTAACAAAGATATTTTCCACTTAAATGGGGTTAAAAGCATTCAATTCGATTCAATTTGTCGCGATCTATATCTGGACTTTGGTTTCTCTATATACAGTCAGACCTCTCTATAACAGCACTTTTCTATAAAAGCCAAGCTTTTTCGGAATCAATTTTTATATTATGTTATAATATATGTTCTCTATAACAGCACTTCGCTATAACATCCAAAAATATTCGGAACAAACGAGACTCTTATAGAGAGGTTTGACTGTAACTAGTGATTCAGCAATCTTAATTTATGTCCCACCTCATAAGTGGAGGTGGGACTGGTCCTTTATAGTTTATCTCTTGTCACTCTCATCCCTGATCTCCTATAAACATTATAAAGTTCTAAGCACCCTTAAATTAAAATTAGAATCCTTAGAGATCTCAAAGTCAATGTAAATGTGTGCTAGATTTATAAGTTAATGCGGTTAGTAATTAACTTTTTTATAACTTAAGCACTTTACCCCAGCTTAGTAGTTGCATATTGAGTACTACCACTATTAGCTACCACGAAACAGAAATTATGCTGCTTTAAAAGAACCAAGAATTCTCATAATCAATTCCCTCTTTCATTTCTTGTTACCCTCTTTCAAAATAAATTTGTGATAACAGGGAAGTTTAAAGCATTAGTGTAGTGCAGGGCTCATTACCTTTTCTTTGTTTACATAGAAACTAATAGATAAAGAATCCAAGAGCTATTGTCGTAGCATTTATCATCTCAAGAGACAAAGAGCATAAGTCCTGTGTCAAACATTTTCTAGCCTAGGCAAAGGGACAACAGGTTTTCTCTAAGTTGGTATTGTTTTGTTCTGAATCAAACATGTCAAGTACTTCCGCAACACCTTGTCATCACGTGGAAGATTGGGTGACAATTGAATTAGATATCATTTATGCTATACTACCTAACCAGGAGGCCCCATGCAGAGGTGGAGCCAGGATTTGATGTGTATGAGTTCAGAATGTTAACCCATGTGAGTTACTATGTTCTAAATTGATAAATTTATACGTATTAAATGAATTTCTTAAGATAAATATAGGGTTTTGATGAAATCTATTGGATTCGGCCGAGTCCATAGTCGACCGTAGTCGAAACTCTACCTCTGCCCCAGGTTCCACGTACCTAGTTTGTCGATTTTGATTTAAGTTATGCACACTGAGAGTGTAAAAAGTCCTTAAAACTATTTGTATAGTTTAACCTGAGACAATAGGTTAGTTATCAATAATGTTCATTATAGAGATTTATCGGTAATTACCTTATAAGTGATATGATTATATAAATATCTTTTACATCGTCGACATTGCATGAAACTTGAAGTCTTGCAACTTATGCCACTGGTTCTGAAGCGATATCAGGTCACAGTTGATCTGGATAGACATATTTCGAGTGTTCTTTGCTACAAAAACAAACATTTCAACGTATATTGCACTCAATTGTAAGTGCTTTAGATATGGTCTCATGAAAGGAGTCAGGTGGGCACCAATAATTAATTCCAGAAGGGGATTTACCTATACCTGTATCAGAAATAATTTTGTAGTATTTCTTGTTTCCATGTGATCCTTATTAATTGGTGTTTCAGATATTGATTTACAAAATCTGAAAACTGCAAGTCCAAGCTTAGATATTGGAAATGGAATGTCCATCAATAACTAAATAGAGACATGAGTTCACAATCTGTTGAACCATTCAAACTTTGTGGAAATAGATTATTTCTCTCCATGATTGAGATAGAAAAAGGTGCGCGACGCGTTTCTATAGGTGACCAGGGTTGATCTTATGAACCAGCCTCTCCCTCGCCTTCCCCCGAATGAGCCTAGGCAGGAGCCTTCTGGCACTAGGGTCCACCTAATGATTGAGATAGAAGTCCTAGTCTCTAGCTAGGCCGGCTCTTCTGGTTTCTGAGAAACAAAATTTATGGTTCTAACTATCCCTGTGTTAGCTATAATGACAGGATGGCATTTTCTTTGAGTCAGCCTGTCTATCACATGTTACTGTATTGGTCCATCATCAGGCAAAAAAGGGCCACCTTTGAATTCTGCTTGCTCATTAGCATACATAGATTATCAAATGAAAATGACAGTTTTACTTTTGAGCAACAGTTAGTGTTGTTCTTCATTTGAAGGTTCTGAATGTCAACAGAAAACAGGAGACAACATGCTGCTGGAGAGGTTGCAACATGTCGGCAAGGCTCTGTTGATTGTGCACGAACAAAATACGAATCCAAGGGTAAGAAACGGTTTAGCCTACTGAGATATTAACTCGTGCAGGAACCAGTCACGCGTAAACCATGTCAAACCGCAGCACAATAGCAGCAGTAGTCACTTAAACACTTGAATTGGCATGAACCTTGGTTTTTCTTTTGATTACATCCGCTTCTTGTAGTGAATTGCAGTACAACAGAATTAATTCACTTCAAATGTTATTTACCTACCAATCATTGCACACTAGGACAACAATTCTTTAAGATGAAAAAAGGACAGCCTGGTGCACAAAGCATCCCGCGTTCACTCAGGGTCAAGGAAAGGGCCGCACCCCAAGCCAAGAGTTTGTGATGTATGCAACCTACCCTAATGCAAGCATCAGTGGCTGATTCCACGGCCTCGTGACCTGATTCCAATTTTTAAAGATGGATTTCAATATTAAAGCCAGTACAATTTTGTGGAAATAGAATTTCAATGGATTTTAATTTTCATATTCAGATCTCATACTTTTTTACACTTAGAAGCAGAAACATTTAACAGAGACGTTTCCTGTTGATCTAATCTTATTTGATTTCTCTTTCACAATAGATTCTTCATATTTTCTTTTCTCTTCTGCTTGTGTTCTTGCTCCTTTAGCAATATGATCAATCCTTGCTAGTTTATTTTTGTAATGCTGCAAGTTCCTTTTCATAGCAAGCTCCAATTGATTCTGCAATTTCTCAACAACAGTCATTTTAAGCTCTAATACCCTTTTGCACTATTAACATCTCAAAAACTAACCTTTCTTCTTTCCATTTGTTGTTTTGCTATCATCTTCTTTTCATTCTCCCAAGCAAGTAGTGCAGAAAGCAGTTCATCATGTCTGAAATTAGAGAATATTCCTTACACTAAAATACCACTAAATTACAATATATCTTGCAACAAAAGATTTAAAAAGTGTGTTATATGTGGTTTTAAAATCATCAACCTCAATAAGATTAAAAAAAATGCAGCAAAAGTGTACCGCTTCCTTATTTTCGCGGTCTGAGCTTTCTCCCAAGCATTAGCTTTGTTTTCAGCCTTTCTGCCTCCTCTTGAAATTTCATTTTGAATTTTATCGTTAGCAGCAGGAGTTATGGTCGTTATTGCTGGTGACGTTTTACCATTTTGCATCGATAGCCTTCTCGTTGGAGCTTCAAATCAAACATAGTTTAAGTTCAATGCACTAGATATGTTCGCGTAAATATCAATGATAAATATTAATTGGAAAACTAGTAAAAATGATAACTAATATATTTAATTATACTGATGATGTAAGTGTCAGTTATATACAACTAAAATCCAGGGAAAATTATGTATACAAGGCAGAGATTTACCTGCTTCTGCAGGCCGAACGGGTCCTCTTGTTTTTGTCTGATATTGAGAGCCAGCATTTTCTTCAAAGGAATATATAGCAAATGCACAAGCTGCAATTGCTGCTGCAATTTCTCCATCACCCAAATCATAATAGTTTCTTCTCATCTATCTAGCTGATACCTGTTCTGGTGCTTTGCTAACAATATTATGGCTATTTAAAACTTTCTGACTTCCCCTTATATTCAATAACCTGGATCAAAACCTTTGTATATATGTTTTCTTGGCTTCAAATGTAAAGAAAAGTCAGCCTTGATGTCAATAATACCAGTAACAGATAAGAAACAACTTTGATTGAAAAATCTTGAAAATCAAGAACCAAACAGGACTAATAAGACTTCAATTTGTTTCTATTTTTGGGAAAGGTATTGCTACACTTTTTTACTTAAACCAGATGTTTCATTTGCTGTTTTCAATATTATCACTACCTCAAATTCATGTAGACCTCTTTTAACCAGAATCTGCTAATTTCAATGCAAATACTAACATTTGGTTTTCTCCTGTAAGANAATGTGCAGAATCTTTGCAACTATGTTTGGAATAGTTTCTTGCAAAAGCAATGGACTTTTTGATCTTATTTCCTATCAATCTTTTCCCAAGGCATATCCCATGTGGCCAAAATGAGAGAGAGAGAGAGAGAGAGAGAGAGAGAGAGAGAGAGAGAGAGAGAGAGAAGCAAAAAATGTAAAGGGAAGCCTTAACCAAATTGACAAACCTTTTCTTTCAACTTGACTTCTTGAAGTGTAAGATCAAAGTAAGTCTTGGAGGAAAGGTATGTCTCTTGTTTCTGTTGCATGTCATGCTGGAAAGGTATCTCTTTGGAGTTTTTCAGAGTTTTTGTGCAGTCAGCCCAAGCGGCCCAATAGATAGGTATTTGGGCCTCTTGTAAATTATATGGCCCAACTACAATTTTACTGGACCCAGACCTGAAAGTCGTATTCTTCGTACAATATTGGGCAAGTTACAAATTTGGCCTGTCGACCAAAAATAATTACATACGCTAGCCAAATATATAAAAATTATACATTGATTATGTATAAAAAAAAATATATTATAATTATTATACAAAAAATATATATTGTGTCGGCTATTATTTCTTGTAACGGCTATACGGGGTAGTTTTCCCTATGATATATTTCGTGGTCCAACCCATTTAATAGTAAAACATAGTAGAAATGGTGTGGGATAGAAATGGCGTGGGATAGCCACTTTTTAACATGGTATTTAGTTTTTATCCAATATTTTTAATGCTGAGCAAAAATAGCCACTACTCTATTAAAATTAATACGAAAAGACGTTTTTACCCTTTTTTCATTAGTGCTGTGTAAATATTAAGGACATGGTGTCCTTAACATTTACACTGCACACATGAAGTTAAGGACGTCATGTCCTTAATATTTACACTAAACATATGAAGTTAAGGACATGATGTCCTAAAGTTTAATAACGGAAGGTACAAATACAGGACACGTTGTCCTTAATACTTACACAACATTCATGAAATTAATGACACATGTCCTTAATATTTACACAATACTCATAAAGATAATGACACTATGTCTTTAACATTTACACTATACACATGAAGTTAAGGACACCATGTCCTTAACATTTACACTGCACATATGAAGCTAAGGACATGAGGTCCTAAAGTTTTTGTCACGACCCAAACCAATGGAAGGCGACGGGCACCCGGTACCTTACTTAACCGAGTACCAACGTAACGTATCTTTCGTATCATACTATCATAGGTAAATGAGCCGGAGAGGCTGTCGTGAGATAAGTAGAATAAAACATGAGGAAATACTCAATATATGGTGACCCAACTTGATATACCGACTTATACATATGACGTACTAGCCTATAAGGCCATACCAGTATCCTTATACATGACATCTGTCTACAAGCCTCTAAGAGTACATAAATATCATAAAGGTCGGGACAGAGCTCCGCCATACCAAATAATACATATTCAAATCATACTGACCAAATAGGCAACTCCGGAGCAAGTGGAGTACACAAACACCTTCTGCTGAGCCGATAGCCTACTAGGAGAATCTCAACGTGTCTTTTGGGACCTACGGGCATGAAACGTAGCGTCCCCAGGCAAAAGGGACGTCAGTACCAATAAAGTACCGAGTATGTAAGGCATGACAGTAGTATATAAAAGACATGAAAGAAACATGGAGTAAAGAACTCAACCTGAAATTCTGAATAGCTCTGTGAATCATGAAAATTTATAATATCATGCATGTGCGTATAAATGCCATACCATGCATAGGTATATGCGTACATAACATCATCAATCCTCTGAGGGCATCCCATCATATCATCTCATCTACTGTGGGCAAAATCATTAATGTATACCAGCTGATCAGGCGGTGGTATGTATATAATGCCATAACCTTTTTCCATATCCCATATACATATAATATACGCGTATATAACGCCTTCTAGTCATGGGTCAATGTACATGTATAAATGCATGAAATGCATAAGAAATACTTTAATAAGATTTTTCGAATATCATAAAATCAATCTGCCTTTCGGACAAACTTTATCAAATACGTATTTTTCTAAGACCCATGAACAGAGGATATAATAATAATTCATATGGGGAATCAAGAATATAGACACNTATCATAAAATCAATATGCCTTTCGGACAAACTTTATCAAATACATATTTTTCTGAGACCCATGAATAGAGGATATAATAATAATTCGCATGGGGAATCAAGAATATAGGCACCCCTAGTATTTCTATAAATAGAGTCATTTATAAAATTTGCGTATTTTGCTCATTTCGTTTGTATCATTTGGATCATGCCAAAAAGAAAGAAGGGATAGCCTTAACATACCTTAACTCCGTTGAGTCCTTAATACCTTCCAAGAAATTCTTCAAACAACTCAATTAAATCTACCACATCATAAGGAGATTCAAAATCAGTGCTGAGTAAAGACTAAGTTCGCAACTTAAACTAGTAGCTCGTTTACGTAAATTTGGGCAGCATCCCCCCCGTAACTAGGCCCTCCTCCAATACCATATACCAACAACAACAAGAACACAATAATAACAACATGTAAGCATTATTTTCTAACATTATCTCCATCACAATATACCACAAAACAGCCCATACACCCTACTCACTTCATACATAAAACGACAACCAAAGTAGTGTCAAACAACTTAAAAATAATGTAAAGACGAACGACCAGCCCACCATTCCGTCATTATGTGGTGTTTCTCCACACTATTTGTCCTCCAAAACTCCATTAAACAGTAGAAAAATATACAGCCCAAAGGCAACACGAAACAGCTCACAAAATAGTCTACTATAAGTCAAATAACTCGAACTCACGGCTTCCGATCACCGTCCCGTGAGTTCTAACTATTAGGAAATGAATTTATCACCATTTTTTGATTTTTAAACACTTAAATACAGAAAGTATACGTTTTTTTAACTATGAAGTACCTTCCAAAACTCAAACTACAAAGAAAAAGAGAGGCAATATAGCGATACTTACGTCGTAGGGATCGTTTTAATGTTATCGCTTCTTGATTCCGTGCCCGAGATGATAATCTTGTTTGAAGCTCTTGCAAAGAGCTTAAGAGTAAAGTTAAGAGTATTATTTGGGCGAGCTCTCTGGAAAAATGGAGAAAGAGATGAGATGGGATGTAAATATCCCATTTTTTTTAAAAGTAAAATAAGTGCTACTTGGCACCCTATGATTGACCCTTCTTCCAATGCTTATAACTTTTTTATCCGGGCGTCGAATGAACTAACGGTTAAGTGCATTGGAAACTACATTCCAAGACCTTCAATTTGGTATATAATATGTCCCCAAAAGACCTCATATAGCATACAAAATATATTTCTCAAAAATCTCTGTTACAGGGCAAATCCTCAGTCGGTGTTTCCGCAACTTTAATCCGATTTTTTCCAACCTTCATATTTTCTATCCAAACATCATATATAGCCATATTATGACTTGAAAATCATTTAAATCATGATTAATAAGTCTTGTATTCATTACGTCACCTTGGGACGGACAGGGTGTAACAGTTTAACAACAGAAGATGCAAATACAAGTTAATGACATTATATCATTAACATTTATACTGCAAATATGAAGTTAAGGACGCCATGTCCTTAATATTTACACTGCACATATGAAGTTAAGGACATGATGTCCTAAAGTTTAACAATGGAAAGTGCAAATACATGACACTTTGTCCTTAATATTTACACTGCACATATGAAGTTAAGGACATGATGTCCTAAAGTTTAACAATGGAAAGTGCAAATACATGACACTTTGTCCTTAATATTTACACAACATTCGTGAAGTTAAGGACACCATGTCCTTAATATTAGCACATGGGTATTTTCGTCCGGGCGGGTAAAATATTATTAAGCACTGGCTAAAAAATAAATATATTTTAAATATTGGCTAAAGAGTAAATACATGTCTAATTAGTGGCTAACCGTGCACTTCCCCACGGCTAGTTTATTACTCCTTCCGTTCCAACAGAATTGCAGGGTTCGCAACACGCATGTCAATATATTTAATTGTTGTTCGAATATGAACATGAGTTTCTGATCACGCCCAACTATGCCTTATAAAAAGGACTAAGCGGTCGTTAGAAATATAATTCGCTTTACAAGTCCGGAGTCGAATCCCACAGGGAATTAACTAACTAATCACAAATGCTAGTTTCACAAGAATTCAAATAATCAACTTTCAAAAATATTGAATAATGAGTTGAGTGTTTACTAACTAAAAATAAGGTAATTAAAAAGCTGTAATTTTATTACTAACAAAGCAAATGTTGTAGACAATATTGGAAAGATCTAGGGTTTCGATTTCCCATCTTATCAGAATCCTCCCTGTTATGTCTCCTATAAATTTGCCTAGATACTCTCTACCGATCGTGAGTATTTTAGGTGTCGTAATTCTCTTCCGAACAAATACAACAATTTACTAAACGTATTTTCCAAACTACGCTAGCTGGCACTAGTTTACCACTCACTAAGATCGTACCAAGGTTTCGTTATTCCTAATCCCACCTTTAAATCCTCCGTATTGATCCCTCGTATATGTTAGGAATGATATGTTCAACAACTACCTAAATATATACCCTTTTTCAAGTAATACACACTAAATAGGCATAGTCAATTGAGAACCCTTCAATCAACCACAATAATAACATAGTGGAACAAGTACAGAAAATCCAATGGCAAACTTATATTAAACGCAACAAAAATTCATCCTCCAAGAGGTTCCATCAACCCCTAGAATAAAGAGTTTAGCTACTCATAATTATTTTCACAACTACAATATAAGAATTCACCACCAATAATAGAAAATGGGAGAAGAAAGATTAAAAAAAAATTTGTTTCCAAATCTTCCGTATTGCTCCTTGCTTGTTCTTGCCTTCAAAGATGTTGTGTAACACTTAAAAAGTAATTCTTTGATGTATTTATATCACTTAAGGTTGCTAAGGGGCGGAACTTTCCAATCCAACTTCGATTGGGAGAAGCTGGAATCTGCGTCTGCCTTCGCGCGTCGCGCGCCCATGGACGCAGATTCAACTTTTGAAATTCTTCCATTTCGCGAAGCGATCCGTGCCTTTGCTTCGCTTCACTGTTTTGTGGCTTCACTTTTCTCCTTTTTCGCGTCCGTTTTCGTGCCACGCACGAGAATAGACGAGCTCCCAATCCTTTAATTTTTCTCCTTTTTGCAATAATTTGATATCTTTTGCTCCATTATCATTCAAGCTCACTCCTACAAATAAGAAATACGTAATGAGTATAATTCACTTCAAATATCATGTAATCTCCCACAACTCACACGACAAATGAGATGAAAATACACTCAAAATCATGTATTTTTGGCCATTTATCAGCTTCTTAAGTGTTATCTACATATTTAGAAACATATCAAAAGTATTAGGGTCGCATCTATATAAAAATTGGACAAAATTCTAAAATGAAGACATATTATCCCAATTCAAAATTGTGAGTTAATAAAATTAGAATAATAACATGCATTTGAATTGAAATCAAGTCTTGAGTATAGATTTACGAAGTTGAGGTCTACAACATGAATCCACCAGTGTGTTTTAAGCACGAAGGTCCAATAGGGTTATTGGAGATTACTTTACACTATAACCACCCACATTTGTTTTTTTTTAATTTCAGTTATTTATTTCCAAACTTCCAATATTAGAATTCACGTAAGTTTTATTTTCCAATTAACTATTCATTGGATTTGACTGATGTTGACCGAATTGGACCAAATCTTAGTCAATTTTGAAAAATCCATATAAAATACATTTCTGAAAAAAACAAAGTAGTACCACTTGTATTACTCAGCCAGTGTTAATCTCCTTTTTGTCAGTTAGCCACTGCTAACGACAAAGTGACGGCATGGCTATAAGCTTAAGACAACTCACAACTGGAAATCCAACATATATATTGGACTTATGGTCATGCCACCTCACTCTATAAATTTTGTCTTTCCTCTTTCTCATTTTACTGTCTAAACTTCAAGAATGCCAGCTGTTTTGTACAAAAACCCTTGATTCTTGAATAAATGAATGTTAACTGTTAATTTATTAGCCAAAAAATAAATAAAGAAAAAAAGCTATTGCCATTTAACAAACCCATATTAAAACAACTCCAACTTAAGCTGATACACTTTGAAATCTGACACTTAAACCTTTTTTTTACTTAACACACTTTTCTTGTCCTTCACCTGTGCATTCTTTTCTCCAACCACAAGGTGCTGTAATATAAATCTCTTGTCCTTTAGCACTGAGGCTGCACGCTATTAGTGTGCTTTCTTTTGGAACTTGTGCTCTAGTATTGTCATTCAAAATCTTGTAGTGTTTGAGGTAATTTCTCATCTGGGTTTAGCTCAATTTATTGTAAGTGATTAGCTGAATGTAAAAGGTCTTAGCTTTTTGTTGTTTTGCATTCAATTATTGAGAGTAAGTATAAGGGACTTTTAAATAATAGTTGGATCTAGTTCTGGTTGGCTGATTCTGATTGGTTAATTTGCATGTTTATCTTAATGAATATGGTATGCTAATGGAGACTTTGCTTATACTGCTGGTATATGTGGCTAATAGATAATGATTGCTTATATTCTATTTGTTTTCTTCAATAGGATCTGGGGACAAATGTTCAAACTTATTTTTTCAATTTTTAGTTTTTCTGTCCATACTGCATGTTTAGTGTCTTTTTAGTACTTCCAAAATGTAATTATGTGCACTTGACCAGTTCTGGTTTGAGCTACTAGCATCTGACCAAGATAAGCAATTTGGTTTGTACCCTTATTTCCTGCTCATATTTTGTTAGTCTAATATTTTTTGACATTACGTTGGCAGAGGCGGATCTAGGATTTCAATTTGATCGGTTCAACCTTTAGTTTTTTACCACTAAACCCATTATACTTTAGAAATTCTCAGTTCAAAGTGTTTTAGAATTTTAATTACTTTTTTGCATATACTCCATGTCGAAAATACTGAGTCACTTGAACCCATCGTTTACACGCATCCGCCACTGTATGTTGGGATCATTTAACCTAGCCAATAGAAAATGATCAAATTCATAGTTTTCAGAATGGTTATATGTAAATTAGTTGTTAGATTCCTCAAGATACTGAAAAGGCTTTAAATACAGAATGGCAAGAAGAAGTTATTTTGTTAAGCTGCTTAATAAGAGAATTATTAGCTTTCTGTTTGATATTTTTCCTCAATTTCATTCATGTACAAGTTCATTTATATTTGGTAAACTTCTCTTAACACTTAATTCGTTAGCCGTTGCAGTTGATGACCCTGTTCAAAGAGGGGTGAAGCTGAGGAGGTTAACAGAAAATGGGCTTCCCACCCTTCTTGTTAATCTTTCTGGCGCTGTGTCCTGCATTTTTGGCACAAATAGTTGAAGATACAGCACTTGTGATTGATGGAACTGTAAAAATTGCTGAGACAGATGCTAATTATGTATGCGCTACCCTCGATTGGTGGCCTAAAGAAAAATGTAACTACAACGAATGCCCTTGGGGCTACACATCTCTGATGAATCTGGTAAAATCCTACTAGTTGTTATTGTCATATTGCTATTTCTAATAGTTAGTGCACATCTCTCATGCAGTTTCAGATGATGGAACGAGCAGTTAACATTTATGATTTTTCTTTTGATTTTTTTCAGGATTTGTCTCACCCCTTTCTGGCAAATTCTATTAAAGGTTTGCATGTTTCCGTCATGTTATAACTTCACCTTAACATTTGAGATCTTGTTGTTCTTACTCTAATTAACAAACTTTGATTGGTAAACTCGATAACTTCACCTTAACGTCAAAAGCATCCATCTACTTGCAATAGTGAGCAAATTAGACTTAATGCTTGTTTGGGCTGCTCACATATTTTCTTCTGTTCTGATTGCTGCCTACTTAATTGGTGGTACAGCTTTCAACCCTTTGAGATTACGACTTGGAGGTTCTCTGCAAAACCGAGTAATATATGACGTAGGCAATTTGGAGTCTCGTTGCCATCCGTTTACCAAGCAGGGGGATGGGTTGTTTGGATTTTCAAAGGGATGCTTACATATGAATAGATGGGATGAGCTAAATAGCTTTTTCAAGAAGACGGGGTGAGTTATTAACTTTTGTGCTGCTTTCTTGTTCCAATTTTGTTTTCACATTGCATTTAAAGTACCCTAAGATTTAACTCTAGAATCTCACTATAATCTGCTTTGCTTTATAGACTTGGCTGTAATTCCTGCGTTCCTTTCTTTCTTTCTTTATTTTTTCTTGTTCTTTTCTTTTTGTCTTGAAGCTATTGAGGAAAATTTGCCCCTAAATTGGTTATACCAATATTAACCTTTGTAAGGTTTTCAAAAGGGATCATTGAATCTAAATAGATGGATATTTAGAGTTCCACTGCTTAACAACCAATAAGTATACTACACTTACACAACCAAATTCTTGTATAATTCATGTTTCTTCAGGATTTGCATCTGAGAAAATCGAGATTGTGAATGCTGATAGGAATCATGGATTAGCATTTAGTAACCAGATTCCTGTACATTTCAACATGCTTGTTGAGATTCCTGCAATCTAGAGATCAAGAAACTAAGCTCTGAAAGCTGTTACCTTTTTTTAATACTTCCCATTCTTTCTGGCGTAACAGTCCTACCTGACATTTTGGTATTAATTTGAATTTCTTATGATACTAAGGAGTATGTCGAAACTTACTTTTGTTAAGACATATGAATAAACAAGTGTACTCTCTCTAACAGCTTAAGCTTTTAAATGAGGTGGTAACTGACTTCAACATAGTATTAGAGCTAAACAAGGGTCCTGGTTTCAAGTCTCAGCACCACCTATTGACAAAAAGTATTTCCATGTGCTTGGCAAAGAGGAAAAGAAAAAGCATTAGGCTTGCATGTGAGGGGTGTGTTAAGGCATAATAAGATAAATAAAAGTGTCCCCTATTAATAGCTCAACTTTTAGATGAGGTGGTTACTCAATTCAACAAAGTTCATCCCAGTTTCACTGCTTATGCTGCAGAGCACTTGTGACCTTTGGCCTGAATGCCTTGCATGGGAGGCAGCGGACGGGTAAGCGTTTGTGGGGAGGGAATTGGGATTCCAGCAACGCCCATGATTTCATAAATTACACTATTTCCAGGGGCTACCAGATACACTCATGGGAATTTGGTATGATTTCTGACAATTTCCTTCTCTCTTTCTTTTGGTAAGTCACTCTTCTTTAATGGAGAGGTTGGATTTCCTTGAACAATGCTTCCCCTTGGTTTGCAGGAAATGAGTTGAGTGGTAAGGGGATTGGTGCAAATGTTAATGCCGAGCAATACGGAACAGATGTTATCCATCTTAACAATCTCATAGACCAACTGTATAAGCATTTCCAACCCCGACCACTTCTCTTAGCACCAGGAGGATTCTACGATAAAGAGTGGTATGAGAAGCTCCTTGAGGTGTCAGGGCCAGGCACTGTCGATGCCTTGACTCATCATATATATAATCTTGGTCCAGGTAAGTTAGCATAAATGTTTTTACAGATAGCTTGGCACTGTATGAAAGCTTCTATTGATTTAGAAAATCTAGCGCAATGATGATTACGTCAAAATTAAGTGTTGACCACTTTTTCCTGCCTCATGATGTGTTTCAGTTTTTTTTGTTGAGAAGGTAACATATTTGTATATTAATATATAGACTTCACTAACTTTGTGAAGTCACCCATAATTACAAAATGAGTGCCCAAAAAGAAAATTAAAACACTTATAATCTTTGGTCTTCTCACAAGGAATCTAGCACATCAAAAATGGATTCATGATCTTCCAAAAACTTTCCTTTACACCAAAAATAGAAAAGAGCTAGACATTTCATCTTCGTCTTCTGGATGTTCCTGGATTTGTCTTCAAAACATCTCTGATTTCTCTCTTCCCAGATTGTCCACCATATGCCAGCTGGGACAATTCTCCATCTCTCTTTATAACTAGAAAGGTAGCCCTCTTTATTCCAGCAAGTTAGAACATCAAGAATTCTTCCCGGCATTGCCCATAAACTGATAAAAATCCTCCATATTTGAACGGTGAATTTGCAATGCAAAAAGAGATGACTAATTGTCTCCTCCTCCTCTCCACATAAGTAACATCTAGAGCACAAGTGAAAACCTCTCTTGATTAGATTATCTTGTATTAGAACCGCTTCTTTTGCTAGTAACCATGTAAAGCAAGCAACCTTGTAAGGGATTTTTACTTTCCATATCATCTTCCATGGCCAACATCCAACCTGGTTATTAGACAGGTTGAATTCCTTATAAGCAGACTTAACAGAAAACTTCCCCTGCCTATTCCTTTGCCATATGATGAGATCTTGATTAGAGTTGATTCCACTGAATAGCTCCAAAGTATTGTAAAACTCTATTACTCTGTCAATCTCCCAATCATTTAGAAGTCTTCTAAAGGTAAGATTCATCTAGTGTTGCTTGTTGTTGTTGATTCAAAGTATATATGTAAGGAAAAAGTAGCTTCAAAGGGCCTTGGCCTAGCCAATTGTCATCCCACAAGGAAATCTTCATACCATTTCCTACTTTGAATCTGGACTTCTTAATCACTTTTGGCCACAAATTCCTAATTGACTTCCACAAACTGACATCATATGGTCTTCTCACCGGTTTGGTTGTCCATTTTCCTTCCATTCCATACTTCTCCCTAACGACCTCTCTCCACAGTGATTGCTCATCTGCCACAAATTTCCATAGCCGCTTCATCATCAAACTATGATTCTGGACTCTCAGGTTTTTGATTCCCAATTCCCCTGTCTTCTTGCTAGTAGTAAAAGAATTACATTTAACCAGATGGAACTTCTTCTTCTCACTGTTGCCTTCCCATAAGAAATTTCTTTTTAATGCATCAATATTTTTCACTACATTGGCTGGAATTGGAATAGAGACATCATATAAGTAGGCATGGCATCAAGTACAGAGTTAATCAAGATTAGTCTACCCCTCATAGATAGATATTGATTCTTCCAATTTGCTAGCTTCTTTTCACATTTCTCCAGCACACCATTCCAAATTCCTTTTGATTTGCTCTTGGCTCCCAATGGCATCCCCAAATATACAGTAGGTAATTCACCTACATTCCCACCAAGAATATCAGCAAGACTTTGTAGCTCCATTACCTCATTGACTGGATAAACAAAGCTTTTGTGCCAATTTATGTGTAGCCCAGAAGTGGCTTCAAAAAGAATGAAGATCACCCTTAATACTTTCAGTTGTTCTTTATCAGCTTCACAAAACACCAAGGTGTCATCAGCATACTGCAAGTGGGAAATCATCATGTTGCTATCAGTCCTACAATTCACATTGAAGCCCCTTATCCAATTATTTGTCTGAGCTCTTTTTAACATATCATTCAATCCTTCCATGGCAATAATGAATAGGAATGGGGAAAGGGGATCCCCTTGTCTCAAACCCCTCTGAGAAGGAAAAAAACCAGCTGGTGCTCCATTAATAAGTATTGAGAAGCTCACAGTAGAAATGCAGAATTTTATCCAGTTAATCCATCTTCCACCAAAGCCCATTTTCCGGAGGGTTTCCAGAAGAAAATTCCAGTTCAAATGATCATATGTTTTCTCTATATCCAGCTTGCATAATATCCCAGGTTCCTTGCTTATTTTCCTTGTGTCAATGCATTCATTGGCAATTAGGACAACATCTATAATCTGTCTGCCTCTTGTGAATGCCATTTGTTGAGAATCCACCAGTTTGTTGACCACCTTCTTGAGCCTCTCAGTCAATAACTTGGATATAATCTTGTATATACTGCCTATCAAACTGATAGGCCTGAAGTCTGTCAGTTCTTTGGCCCCCACCTTCTTAGGAATCAAAGCCACAAAAGTAGCATTAAGGCTCCTTTCAAATATTCCTTGGTCATAGAAGTTCTGAACAGCTACTACCACTTCCCAGCAATTAGTGAAGAAGGCCATTGAGAATCCATCTGGGCTAGGTGCTTTGTCGCCAGCACATGCCTTTACACTTTCCCATATCTCATGTTCTTCAAAGGGGCTCTGTAGCATTAAGTTATCTTCTGGTGTAATCATCTGACTATTTCTGATGGAACCTAGTGGCCTCCACTCCTCTTCTTCTGTGTAGAGGTTTTGGTAAAATCTGATAACCTCCCTCTTGATATCTTCTGGATTCTGCAGAGATTCCCCTTGTACTATCAACTGATTAATATTGTTATATCTCCTGTGAGCATTAGCTCTTCTGTGGAAGAACTTAGTGTTCCTGTCTCCCTCTTTTAAGACCTCTGTCTCCTACTTCTTCATGGTTTGCAATCACCTCAAACTCTATGGACAAAGAGGTTTTTGTAAATATTTCCTCCTCTGTCAACCTCCTTTGGTCATGTAACTCTTCCAGCTCTGCAAGTTGGCTGAGGATACTTGCTTTCTGCAGTGCTAAGTTGCCTTGGAGAGTTTTGCTCCATTCTTTGAGCTTTGCCTTCAATGCTTTAAGTTTGAAAGCTAGGATGAAATCAGGCCTTCCTTCACAAGTAAAAGAGTTCCACCATTCTTGTACTCTATCTTTGAATCCTTCGGTCTGCAGCCACCAGTTTTCAAACTTAAAGTATGATTTGACTGGACCCCAACTACCACATTGAAGCATCAGTGGTGAATGGTCTTCTATGTGTTTCAGTTTATAAAACATCATGTGTTTCAGTTTATAAAACATTTTTCACGTCTTCTATGAAAATTTCTTTGTCACTAATATTTTAATATTTTGGACATCATTAGGAGGTTGGGAACCATCCAGTAAAAGAGAACTAGTTGGTAGAACAAAATTAGGTAAATTACTTCTGTTTAATTCAAATTATGAACAACTGCTTAGGTAGTTGGGTGATTTTACTTTATTTATCTATCTTTTTCTCATAAGTGGTTTGTGTGCAAAGTTACATTACTACTTGCGTTATCTGGATTTGTAAGTCGATTTGTTCATGTTACTCCATTGAATAGAACCTTGAAATTTATTTGTTTCAGGATCTGACCGCAATCTCGTCAACAAAATTTTAAATCCCCTGCACTTAAATAAAATTGCCGACACATTCAGTAATCTTACCCAAACCATTGCAATGAATGGTCCTTGGACGTCAGCTTGGGTTGGAGAATCTGGTGGGGCCTTCAACAATGGAGGTCATAACGTGTCTAACACATTTGTGAACAGTTTTTGGTAAATTTCTTGCCCGACTCGATTTATTTTTTATCATTCTATAATCATTTAATTGTTTGCTTTATGCCTTACCTTGTCGTGGAATTTAGGTACTTGGATCAGCTTGGGATGGCAGCCAAGTACCACACTAAAGTATATTGCAGGCAGACTTTTGTTGGTGGAAATTATGGGCTCCTTGACACAAGCACATTTATCCCAAATCCTGATTATTACAGGTGAGGTGATTGGTTTACCAATTCAAGGTTGATTCTCTCTGCTACTAAAAAGAACATCTTCCTTAATTCTTGTTATTAAGTCCCTGATAATCTGATCCGACCTCTTTCAACGAACACAGTGCACTTCTTTGGCATCGGCTGATGGGAAAAGGAGTTCTTGCTGTTAGCAGAAATTCATCATCATATCTGCGCTCTTATGCCCACTGTACAAGAGATAGAGTAAGAGCTCCGTAGATTTTTGAATCACTCACTTATAGAATTTAGATGCATCTTTGGCTGGAGAGTGGAGATAAATTAACCTTTACAGGAAGTAATTTGATGGTTTCCTGGAAGGAAGTCTTAAAATTTCACACGTAATTACTGGTTGATAATCCTTGTTCATCATCAATAGTGATATTTATTACTTCTTCTGTTGCATCAAGTCTATTCATGCTTCTGGTCAATCTATTTGTTTGTAGAGGCTAAAACATCACACCTACTTTTAATTAGGCAGCAAAGATGCAGTGAGAATTCAACTATATGAGCTTTGCATAGTCGGCCCAAACCCGGATTAAGGAGAAGGGTTGTGGTAGGTTGGTTGTCAGCATAAAAATAGTCATAATATGTTGAAACCTCTAAATGTTGAACTGGAACGTGGCATCCGTATTACTGTTAAATGGGCAAGGCGTTCCATCACATCATTGTGTTGGTGTGAGAGAGTTTACGCTAAGTTCCAATACCATGAAAGGCCTAGGACCTGAAAGTATTCGCACTGGAATGAAATGGTTTGAATAGAGCAAAACAGATATACAGGAAATAATTCAAGTAGCCACCAACTACTTTAGCATTGAGGTTTAGTTAATTGATTAATTGATAGCAAAGCAAGCTGTTTTTCGTGATTATTATCTTTAAGATCATTTCAAAATTGTAACTTGTAAAGACCATATGCTTTAATGCTGCAGAGGGAGTAATAATTACTAAAAGAATTTGTTTAAATGCTTTGAGTGTTATAATCAGAGTTGATGCTATTCAGTCTCAACTAGTTTTTCTTTCCTAAGGGATGCTGGCTCTCCCTTGTGCTTATTTTTGTAGGCGAACTTACTACTGGTGGATAGTTAGAACTTGAGTGTCTACTCTTGGATAGGCTAGAACCTAAATGTCAACCAGATGTAGGATAGAACGCCCTTCTACTGAACCATTTTGTGGCTTATTGGTGAAGCCAGCTTCTGGTTGCTAATCTTACCATTTTATCCTAGCCATACTGCAGTAATTTAGTTTTCTCATTAATGTATACTTCGTTTTATCTTTCCTGAGGTGAGGATCTACCGGAAACAGCCTCTCTGCCTTCTTAAAGGTAGGTGTAAGGTCTGCGTACACACTACCTTCCCTAGACCTCACTTGTGGGATTATACTAGGTTTTTTGTTGTTGTTGTTGTTGTTGTTGTTATTCATTAATATATACTAGTTTCAAATTAACATGTGATGATTTGGATGTGCTTAAAACTTAACATTTCAATTTCCTGGTGTTTCCTTTGTGCAGGCTGGTGTGACATTACTTTTGATCAATTTAAGCAACCAAACTCAGTATGGAGTCAGCATCGAATCTAGTGCAACCACCACCTCGCATGCCAACGAGAAATCAAATCACAAGAAGTCGTTTATACATGGTCTTAAGAAAACTTTTTCATGGGTTGGAAGTAAATCATCAGACGTTACATTATCACGAGAAGAGTATCATCTGACTCCACTAGATGGGAACCTTCACAATAAAATTATGCTCCTGAATGGATTACCATTACAGCTCACAGAAGATGGAGACATCCCAAGTTTGTCTCCAGTCATTGTAAACATAAAGTCCCCAATATCAGTTGCCCCCTTGTCCATCAAATTCTTAGTATTCCCCAACTATAATTCTCCAGGTTGTAGATAGGATTAGGAAATAATGCTCACTCTATTGATTCATACCTTAGTAATTGTACACTAGCTACAACAAAATGAGTAGCCAATTTTTTAACAATTATGTATTATATAGCTAGATATATCCCTCCCCCTACTAATAGTGTTTCCCAGGAACATGTGTCATGTAATGAAAGTTAGTTATCAACTAGCATAGCATTGTAAGCAGACAAACAGCTGTATTTAAACATTTGCCACAAGCAGGTATCATGTTAAGTGGATGGGAAATGATTTTTCTTCCAGCCAATATTGGTTAGAAAGGCTTTGAAGAATCAAATATAATTCTGTTTGATATCGGTGTTTCATAAACTGTACATTTGTGTTTAACGTTATTAGGACATAAAATTATCCGAAAAGAAGAAAAAGATGCATTATGCGGACAGCAATTTGTTGAACTTTCCAAATATCAGACGATAAATTTGGTTTACTGTAATAGAGTTGTGTAAAGGCATAATACAAAGTACAATTGAAATTTACAATAACAAAATATTAAAATCAAGGGGGATTTGTGAGAGCTCAGAAGAGTTGAAAGGATAAAGAACTGAAGCAAGTTGACATCCGAAAGCTCATTATTAGCAGGTCTATCAGACGTCTACTGGTTTACTTTCGAAGCAAACGGTGAATCCTCTGGTTGGCCCCTTTAACTCTGAAAGCAATCTCATCAACATCATCTTCAACATGATCCAATGCCTTGTTTTGCCTGTAATATCCAACAGCATATACAGAATTCTAAGAAATTGTGGAGAATTCTAGTGCTAGAGAATGTTCTTTCAAAAAAATATTGGACTGCGACAGGTTTAAATAAAATGATATGGAAAGTGAGGATTCATAGAGTTCACGCTAACTTGTTTGGAATTGAGGTGTAGTTGTTGCATATACATAATTCTTAGAAGTAACTAACACAATAAGGAGAAAGTGGAAAGGTAAAGGAAGACTAACCTCTCAATTTCAGATCCCATGTCCGTAGCCATATGCTTGAGCTCCCCCAACAGGTTGCTGAGATCTGATAGGCCATCATCTTGCTTTGCTTTCTCAAGCTGTCAAAATTTCAAATGAAGTAACTTAGCTAAATGATATTACTATTCATATTCATGCAAAAGGGAAAGAAAGGAAAAAGGGAAAAACAAGGAGGAGCTGAGCCATCTCCAATCTGGTAGCAAAGGATAAACAATGTTTTGTTACTAGGACTTAAAATTTTTGTCGGAACTAATTTGTATCGTCTCATGGTCCAACAGGCCAAAGCATTACAAAGGCAAACTTTTCAAGAAACCTAAGTTACTGCAAGGATCACAATGTTTTACTACTTTTGTTGTTTAGCTTTTGGGGTTCCAAAATGAAACTTCTCTCAAATTTAAAGCCACACTTGGAGCCTTGGTGGGCAAAGTTACCCGATACCTGTGCTGGTGGGAGGTAATAGGTATCCACGGTGGAATAATCGAGGTGCGCGCAAGCTTGTCCGGACACCACCGTCATAAAAAATAAATAAGCCACATTAAAAATGGAACAAGGTTGTTTCTCAATGTTTCACTCAGAGATCAGCTCAACTATTTTCTTATATTTCCTCCCCTCGTGAATACGAATAGAAGTCACTCTTCCAAAAGCAAGTGGATATTTCCTCCCGTTAAATCCACTATTATTTTTCCTCCGTTCACATTTCTTTACTCATCATTTAAATGAAGTTCGGGAGAAGTTGAGTTTCTAGAATTATATTTCTAGCTCACCAAACAAGTTTTCAGTGAATATCCGAGTNTTTTTCCTCCGTTCAAATTTCTTTACTCATCATTTAAATGAAGTTCGGGAGAAGTTGAGTTTCTAGAATTATATTTCTAGCTCACCAAACAAGTTTTCAGTGAATATCCGAGTTAGAAATAAGGAACCAAAAATTAAATGAGGAAGTTCCCGAGATCCACATACACACTAAAACTACAACTACCCAATATGCAGGATACCCTATTGATTAGTTTTGGTCACACTTAGGTCTGTGGCTTTCTGCATCTTTCCTCACTTTGCCATCCACTTTTCTAGCATTTTCGCCTTTTCATTTAAAGTTGCAATTTACCAGTTGAAATATTGATGATTAAGAGTATATAACAAATTAGTTAGTATTTCCTCATTTAACTTTGCAGAGAGAAAATTTTATTATCTATATACCAAAACGAAAATATCATAGAATAGAATTAAAGAAAGACGAGAAAGATTCAGACACGTAAGCACATTGTCACTTCTACATAATTCTTTTAGTCTGTCAGGGTTGTTATTGTGCAATCACAGGTACGGTTGATCCTGCATAATTATACATATCCAACCCCCGCTTTGACAACAACAACAACATACCCAGTATTATCCCACACTGTGGGGTCTGGGGAGGGTAGTGTGTACGCAGACCTTACCCCTACCTTGTGAGGATAGAGAGGTTGTTTCCAAAAGACCCTCGGCTCATGAAAGCATAAGCACCACATTAATGAAAATATATACAAGAAGGGGCAGTAACAAAAAGCCATATAAAAGCATAATAAAAACAACAAGATAGTAAGGTGATCAACAATGAAAGAAAACAACGGTTAGTCATAAGAACCTACTACCAACAAAAAACGAGACTGCATGCCAATACTACTGTTATGAACACTCTAGACTACCTACTCTACTACCCTAATCCTCGACCTCCATACCTTCCTATCAAGGGTTTGACAAATATGCTTTAAATCAAAATTCACGCAATTCATACACTTGGATATGTGGATCTGACTCTCTTACATCCAAGAGCCACATCTACAAAACGGGATGTGAAAGCACAATAACTTGAAGCAGACTATAATAACTGCTTTAAAAATGCCACAAATCTTATCTTCACTTTACATGGTTTTAATGATTTCAGAACGGAGTTGGTAGACACCGAAAGTGAACAAATGACAACGGCATATTTCTGGTCTGTTTTCTTTTATGCTTTTTATTTCTCTCTTAGCTCTTCCTAAAATCACCATGAGTCACAAATCCTCATTTCCAAGCCCATTTTAGCAAGAAAAATGACTTTCAAGGACAAAGTATCACAAATCAAAGACTATAGCTTGCAAGATGATATCCTTGAAAGTTTAGATGACAACTCTTATAACTCCATGCTGATGAAAACACGGCAAAACGAATAAGGAAAAAGCCTTTTGGCAAATGAAAGTTCACATATTAATCTTAATCTTAACTTTTCATTCAATGCTATAGGGAGCAACTTTGACTTTTCTACTCCATGCAACGTCAATTCCATAACTCACTCAACGACTTTATAAAAGAGTTCTTGTAAATCAGTATTATCTATCTTGTATCAAGTCACATGCACATACCTCAACTTTCTGCAGGGCATTCGCAGGTTCTGGGGGTGGTGTTCGTGAACTTGACCTTGCCTTAGGTGCAGAGCTCAATCCTAATTTCTCCCTCAGCTCCAAGTGGTTCCCCCTTCTTTGAACTGGATCATCTGCCGCATTAACACAGTGTCAGACTAGCTATCATTGTCAGGTGACACGACCTTTCCGTTACTAAGCATCTTGTGCACATTTAATCCAGATATCAAATCATATTAAATGAATGAGAAGAACAAAATTAAATGAGTCACCTCTTGTGATAACGGGTCCTGTAATTGCGCGATTCTTCTTTGGCTTCCAAGTCTTAGAAAAGATGCCCCCAAGACTTCCCACGAGTTTTTCACCCTGAAATAAAATTTCAAACTTAAGTCACCCAAGATAACAAGCAACAATAGCAAAACAGTTGCAGAAAGCAATTAAATGCAAAATCTACCTAATCAAGAAACATGTAATGAAGAATTTACAGCTCGTGAGACATAAGGCACGAGGGCGTCTAGGTAAAGGGTAAAGCAGATTCTTTATGATCTAATAAAACCCTTACCAAAATCTATTTCGTTCTAAAAGACGCATATCGGACAAACGAACAAGATTCATCTTCAAATGAAATAGAAAGTAAAAACTATCACTTAAACCCAACAAACAAAGAAAAAAAATAAGAGAAGATAGTTGCTTCAGGAAATGATTAACAAAATTATCAGAAATATAAAACACATAATGGATATGGGCAGTTAATTAAAGCCAATAACATAGATGATAATGTTGGCCACAGTTGTCTCTGCTTTTGCAGAAAACCAAATAAGATATCAGCGGACTAAACAAACCATACCCTGCTAAGATCATGGTCAATGTTGGCTGCAGTCATATGGGTTCTTGTAATTTGTTCTCCCTGTTGATGTAAGGTGATCAGCGTTTTTGTTGCATCCTCACGCATCTCTTCTGCAATCTTCAGGCAGCCGTTAACAGACTTTGTAGTCTCTTCAGCCTTGTATACAGCATAGTCTTCCAATTCCTCTACAGTTTGGTTTTCAAATCCTCCAGACTCCCGAAAATCATTCTTGTATTTATTTCTTGCTGTCGAAGTTGAGTAAGCACGTGAAGGAGTCTCTTTAATTTCTTCATCATCAAAAGGATTTGCACTCAAATTTGGGGTCGCTACAGAAGGCTCTGATGATGTTCTCCTTGATGGTTTGACTGTTTGCCTCTTGTCAGATTCATCATCAGAATCAAAGGGATTTGACCCAGATTTACCATGGAATGCAGGATCTGCAGAGTTTTTTCTAGCATTCCAATGTAAAGGAGACTTCTTAAAACCATGCATTTTTTATGGATATGAAGCAACCGCACGGGTGGGACCTGCTACAGATTAAGGAACTATCTGCAGAAAGACACAAGATCAAATTATGAGCACGTTCACAGAAACAATAGTTAGTCTGTCTCTGTGAGACACGTACAAGGAGGAAATTCAGTTAAAGATCCCTGCTTATATCAACTAAATAAATGAAAGTTAACGGTATTGAACACAACGATTGGCAAGGAGCTAAAAGATTAAGAGAGAATAAATCTCAACTAAAAGACTCAAACCAAGCTTTGTTCAGATAGGAAAAACACAAATATTCAGGAATACAGAGAAATAGCACTAATAAGTAATGGAAAAGCCAAAAATCAAGTATGCAATTCTAATGTAATAAAACTAATACGCCTTAATTCCAAGCAAGTTGTGGTTGGATATCTGAATCCTCGATATCTGTTTAGCTCTATCTGGACCGATGAAATACAAATTACACAGACAAGAGAGGATAGCTTGTTGGTAGCTTCCACCTCCAACCTACGGGCTGACCTAAGTTGGAACACTGTTCTCCAAGGAAAATTCGAGAAAAAGAAAGAAAGAAAAATCCCACAACAAAAGCAGAGGCGAATCTAGGATTTTGAGAACATGAGTGCACCACCGAAGAAGGGAGAAAAAAGAAGTACTAAGTGATTTCATGTTCCTTTGGATTAACTCAACATTCAATCAGGTGTACCATTCAACCTTTTTGGAGTATGAGGTCAAACAAATAATATAAGATCAATTAAATACCTAGTTTAGTGGAAGATCATGAGTTCACGTGCACGGTAAAATAGCCAAAATCCGCCCCCGACTACACGGACCAATTTCTACAAGAATAATATCGAAAATTAAGGTGCATATCTGGTTCTATTTACATCTCCATAATAACAAAACGTTATTTCAAATTTCTTCTGTAGAAGTAAATTACAGCAATCATCCTTTAGCTAAGCAGAAATTTAAGAATATTCCTCCACTCATATAGTCATATTCCTAACTGCTTTCATGCTGATTTCTCAAAGACCCACAAATCATATAAGAAAACCCAAAACAGAAACCAAGATTGATAGCTAGAAGCATAGGGGGTTTTCCCTAAAAAGTAGAAATGATAGTTCCAAATGATAATTTCAGAAATAAAAAAAAACATATCACTGTAATAAAGTTTGAAGTTACAATTAACCCATATGAATAACAAAGATATTTTGACATAAACTCAGTATATTCATATGTTGAATTTGGAATATCATGACTGAAACACAGAATAAAACCAAAAGAAGAAAGAAGTGGGTGATGTGCAGATTACCTGAAAATCCAAAGAAGATTAAGTATGCAGAAAATCTAGAGAGAAAGATTGAATAGAATTGAAAAAACTGTAGTTTGGTGTATATATAGGGGATGATATTTGTGAAGAAAGAAGCGTGGAGTAGGGGATGTTAAGACTTTTTGAGTAAGCCAACAAACAGTGTTACAAATTGGACCGTTTCCTCTCCGTATCCCTACGTAGACTTGACCTGCTCTTGTCAACTGCTTTTATTTCCTTTCCTTTTTCTTCTTTTCCCTTTTTCTTTTGTTGATTTTTTTAAATAAAAGTTACACCTACGATTTACACTTGTGATTTATATCAATTTTTAAATTAAACAATTACACCTCACCAAATTCATTCTCAATCTTATACACTATATTGGAATTTTTTTCTTATGTCAAGAGAATTTAATAGTTCATATGGAAAAGAAAATTATTTTTATTTTATTTATACAAATGGCAGCCCGGTACACTAAGGTCACGCTATGCGCGTGGTCCGGGAAGGGCCGGACCACAAGGGTCTATTGTACGCAGACTTAGCCTGCATTTCTACAAGAGGCTATTTCTACGGCTTGAACCCGTGACTTCCTGGTCACATGGCAGCAACTTTACCAGTTACGCCAAGACTCCACTTTTATCTTATTTATACAGTATAATTTTTAAAAGGAAAAAATAAATTTAGCCTCCTTGGCTCCTGTTAGCTCCCCATTGGCCGAGATCAACTTGCCTGCCATGTTTTTCCTTTTTTCGATTAGAATGATTATCTCTCACATTTAATTAAGTATGTTTTTGGAAAAGAGAGAAAAATACTAGTCTAATTTCCTTAAGGTCTAGTTAAACTACATGCTCTCCAATTTAAACATCAAATTCTTCTCCCTAGAAACTCTCTGCTTGAGCCTTTAGATGTGATGAATAATCTTGTACAATGCAGAAGAAATTAATTAACATGTCATTTTGCTAATTAAATAATCATTTTGCTATAAAGTTTGTTTTTGGAAGTGCTGGAGTATTGTGTTTTGACCTATATAAGTAAATATGTTGAAACTATTTAATATACTCTATTCTAAAAGTGATTTAGAATTAGAGTATTCTTTCTTAAGAAGTACAAGAAAATTAACCCTTTCAAAAAAAATTCAGAAGGTATTATATTATCGTGGGGATCGAAAATAACAAGGCGTCATGCGAAAACTAATAAAACAAACTTAGGTGACGATAAATCAGACAAAAAAGAAAACATAGTAAATAAACATACTATATTAATATAGTTCGGTCAAGTGACCAACATATATATGATTTACTAATATCAAAGAGAAAAAAGCTTATGAGAGGATAAATTCTCCCCCTAAACAAAACTATCGTAATGACTACATTGTGGATTCTATTGTGTTATATATGAAGGAGAGATCCTCAATTTATAGAGGTCCACAAGCTTTTTTTACAAGAAAGAAATTGTCAAATATAGAAGAGAATCTATACTTTTCTTTTAGGAAAAATAAAATAATTATGGTTAATATTCTACCCTTTCTTCAAGTAAAAGAATAAATTCAAATAAGATAAAAAAATCAGGACAAATTCTTAACAATTACTTGAAGAAAAAACTATATATACTCATTCATTTCCTATTGACAATCATATTTTACTCCACATTATTCTAGTAAAAATCTGAAATAAATATATCTTTAAATATATGGGGGAAAACACCAAACATCAAAGATCATATTTTTTCTTTTTTACTTTTTAGTAGTAAAAATGTATATCAGGAAAAAAAGGATGTGGTACTAGATTGCAGAATAAGTAAACAGGTATTAATGTCATTGCGTTTATTGACACGTAAGAACTTCACTGCCATTTGCTTAACTTAGAATTATTAGCATTGAATTAGTCTAGAAATTCCAGTATTTTTATTTCCTAAAAATAAAAATATTAACCTCTAAACTTGCCAAATTAGCAAGTTGTGCATTAAAGCCAATATATTACTATTTTTAGTACTTATATCTAACGACAACAATTGTAAATCAATATTGACATGGTATAATGGATCAGTATCACATTACCGCGTGAAAATAGCACGGTAAGTTTTCGGACCGGTAATTGAAAAATAGTCAGCATTTACAAAGTCATTGGAAAATAACTACTATATTGCTGCAACACGGAAAGTTCCAGCATAATATACTAGAGATTGATGTACTTGTGTATGAACTTCCAGCATATTATGCTGGAACTCCAGCACACGGAAAGTTCCAGCATGATATCTGGAGATTGGAGCACTTGTATATGAACTTCAAGCATATTCTGCTAAAACTCCAGTATATTATGCTGGAAGCTCACATGTAAAAAATTCGAACTCCAGTATATTATGCTGGAATATTTTTCGGATTTTGCACAGTGTTTTCGTTCAAATTTATCTTTACATGAAAAGTGACTAAATTTTGATTACTTTTGAAATTATGGCTATTTTTCAATTACTACTTGTAAATCTGGCTATTTTTGAATTTCGCCCCATTACCGAGTACCAAAACTTTCAAGTAACAAGAAAACGATATGTTGCGATCTCATTAACTTTACTCCTTTCACATAATTTATATTGAAGTCTAAATGATCCATTGCACTTTTTAAGAAAAAAAAAGAAGTTACCCACACCAGATAATTACACCAACCAATAGAGTTATGACATGTGTTTTTAAATAAATTTATTTTTGCAAAATTAATCATGATTAATTAATTTACTTTCTCACCTGATTAATTTACTTAACCAAAATAAAATGTATGATTGGATAGAAACACTCGATGCGAATACATTTTTACCAACTAATTATTAGCCAAACATAGATATTGGAAATGAGTACAAATGAGGAAGCACACCTAAAACTCTAGAAGACACCCTTCGGGAAAGAAGCTCTTGCAGTTTCTTAGCAACTTCCAGGAAACCAGTAAGAATTAATGATAGTGTATAGAACAATTCTTAACTACTAAGTTTACATTGTTAATTAAGTTTTTTGACTCGAAATCTCATCACTATTTATATTTTGATCTCGCTTAAGAAAAAATAGAAAAATAGTTTTAAAATACGCTTACCAAAATTTGTGGCTGAAAATTTTGGTGATTCGTCTGAATTTATGATAAAATTCTGATGACTACCATAACTGTTGCGTGCTTTAAAATTCTACTTAGAGAAAAATTATGGCATGGGGCAGTTTTTCCAAACTTCGATTAGCGGGATTAAAAAATCAACAGTGATATCAAAATGTCCTATTTTTGTCATTCTCCCTTGAATTTAATGCCTCCAAGCTTATTGGGCCTGTTAATGATGTTATGGATAGTTGGGGATTAGAAAGGCCCACAACACTGTTATACAAGGAAACATTATCATTTTCCATAATTTAAGTTTGGAGTTTAAAGTAAAAAGTAAAGTTATCAATGAAGTTTTGGACTAAAAATTTAAAGTTGGACTTCTGCTCAAAATAGTGCTCGCTATGAGGAAAAAGTGGTTATTGCCCTCTTAATATTAAGAGTGACACTAAAGAGTTGAATTTCTGGCAACCTATACTTAGTCTAATACCCAGATTTTCAATGGATAAACTCCTAATAAGAGATTTTTTTTTTTTTTTTTTTTTTTTTTTTTTTTTTTTTTTTTTTTTTGTGAGAATCAGTATTGGTGGTCCTGTCTACTGAGTCTTCATTTCTCTGTTGTATGATAACTTTTCATTTAGTATGGATTAAGATAAAGCAATATAATGAGATGTGTTGTCATGTTTTATGATAGGTACCTAAACAACTACCTTTTCTTTAATTGTTTACAATATAAAAATGCTTTTTCTCCTTCATGACTTCATACTCTAATCCCATATTCAACACCTCATAATTCATCTCCCTTCAATGTCAAGAAAAAATAATAATTATACCAGAAAAGTTTTACTCTTCATGCCAAGTCTAGCTCAACTAGGAGCTAAAGTGTATTAAAATATCAACCCAATATAGAAATCAAGTTTACATCTTGTAGAAATAAGATTCATTTCCCTAAGCAAATGTAAAAGAGTGCCTAGTGGCTCAAGGAGCCAAATGCAAAATGTTACTGCTCTGAATTGAACACTTCAATTATGTAAAGAATTAAATGAATCTGTACACTTGTGAACCTTGGATGAAAGATTGAAACCCAGTGTGAACCATGAGATCCCTCCAATCCTTAACAAGAGGTTTCACGTTCGTACTCTAAGAATGGTCACGTTCGTACTCTAAGAATGGAGTAACGAGAGGTCTCACGTCCATCCTTCAATAGGTCCTACGTGACATTAATCCAGATTAGTTAGATCAGTGAATTTTGAATATTTGATGCATAAAAGGGCAGCCCGGTGCACGAAGCATCCCACATTCACGCAGGATCGCACCCCAAGGGGTCTGATGTAGGCAGTCTACTCTGATGCAAGCATGAATGACTGATTCCAATGGTGGAACCAGATTCAGTTAGAAATTAGGCCCACTAGTTGCTCATGTTTGTGGCTGCTTCCTATCCACCATGTTTGGAACCCAACATGTTCACTGCTCTCTTCTTCAACTGGAGCAGGCAAGTTAAGATCCAAAAAGTCTCTGATTTCTGGTGTTGGTTTCTGTAATATAACAGCTTGGTTGTTGCTTTTGGCCTTAGCAATCAAATGGGATCTTTTGTGACCTCCTAAAGCTTGTCCTGATTGGAAAATCTTGAAGCAAATTGGACACTCATACCCCTTTAGTTTCTTGGACACAGAACTTGTCTCAACCTTTTCACCAAATTCATCAATTGTACTGTCATTAGAGCTATTCTTTGTGTTTGTGAGCTTGTTATCAGCAGCTTGATTTTGCGTATGCTCAATCGCAATAGTAATGTTTTCACAACCTTTAGTTCTTTTGTGGCTTGCTCTATGACCACCAAGAGCTTGGTAAGAGTAAAAGCTCTTGTTACAAGTAGTACACTCAAATTTGATCTTTTTCTCAGAATCAGAATCATGATCTCTTAGTTTCTTTGTGTTGCTATCTACACTAATATCACACTCATTCATTTCAAAGTTTCTTTTCTTGCTATAGCTCCCTTTGTCTAATTTGTAGTGAACTTCAATTTGAGACTCCTCAAATCTATTTTCTTTATCCTCTTTAATCTTCTTTTGCTTATCATCTGATTCCTCTGATTTGTCCATTTTGTAACCATTTCTTGGAATCCTAAGAGCTCTAGCATTTGACTTTGAGCTCTCACCTTGTTCTGGCTTCCCATTTTTGACTTTCTTCAGCTTGACCAATTCACCATCTTTACATTTGGAGATCTTACTCCCATTTTCATCAGTAAAAAGATTTAGGCCAACCCAATTTCCTGAATCCTTTGAAAGAATAATCAAACTCATAGCAACCTCCTCTTGTTCTTGTTCAATCTCAGTTACAGTAGAGGAAGTTGTAGTTGTTATGTACCTTTTAATCTTTCTTGATGATCTCTTCTTCTTATTGGGAGTTGCTGTTTCAGTATCAGATTGAATATCCATAACCTGTTTGTGAATTGCATAATTAGCATCATTGTTCCAAGAATCTTCTTCTACTGTACTATTCATATATGATATTATTTTCTCTGAGTGACACTTCATGTGGCCAAATAATGCTTTCCAAGATTGGAAACTTTTGCCACATTCTTTACATACCTTAATCTGATTTGGAACCAAATTAGTATCTTCACTTGACTCAGCAAATTTTGAAGCTTTCTTTGGATTTTCCCTTAGACCATAATCAGCAATAGGAGAACTTGCTTCAATAGATGGAAGCTTCTTTTTAGTCTGATCAAAGGAAGAATTGATCAAATGAGACCTCATATGACCCCCTAAGGATCTACCACAAGGGAAACTTTTGTTGCAAAATTTGCATACATACTTCAGTTCTTGATCTTCTTTCATTGAATTTAATGAAAATTCAAGAAACAAGAATCCAATCTGATGATCAAGAAAAAAACCAAACTTTAACTAGTATTCCTCACAGATATGCTTCAACTCTATATACCATTGTACTAAACCAACAAGCTAATGATATAGAGTCAACCAAGAAAAAACAGAACCAATTATAAACCAGATAAGAAGCTGAAATATGAAATGGGGTTTCAGAATTCTGAACTTTTAGCTCAAAAAAAATGAATTTTTGATCAATAACAAGATCTACCAGGCAAGAAAAGAGAGCTGAAGAAGCTGGTGAATAAACAAGCTACTAAAAGAAGAGAAGAAAATTTAAAGTACTAGCAGTTTACTGTCTCTCTAGAGTTTCTCTCTCTTGCAATTTACAATGCTAAATTTGGAATTAGGAGGACAAAACCATGCATGGAAGCAAAAGATAAAAAGAAGAGGTAAAGGGGAAGATGGTAGTAACACGTGTAATTAATTGAGAATCCTACGCTAACCCAAATCCAACGGTTGACATTTGAGCATCTCTGTGGCTGAACTGACCTTAGCTAGCTCCTGCTCAAACACACTTAAACAACTGTTTATAACTATTTTTTCCCTTTGTCTTTCTATTAAGGAAGCCCACAACTTCAAGTGATAGAAAAAATAAATAAAAATTCCACTCTCTGGTCTTCTTGTTTATTTTCCTAATTATTCTATTTTTCCAAAGACTTGTAGGTCCTGCCAGCTCCCTTCTTTGCGGTTTCTTCACTTAACAACTCTTTTTTCACTTAACAACTCTTTTTTCACTTACTAACTCAATCGCTGTATATAGTATAAATCAAGCTCTTACTCTATTTTACATAGTGACAAAAAATTTACATTGTATTGTTATAATAATAAATAACTCACCTTATTTTATTAGGTTAAGTTAACCTAGAGTTAATTTTTTTACGAGCATTATAGGATAGCCTGAAAAATAGAGCAATAGCCTACTAGTATATTGTTTGAATTGCGCTTGTTGGGCTAAAATCAACTTAAATATATTTTTAATATGGTGTGATATTATACGCTTTGAGCCAAGTCGCATCGTTTGAATTGCGCTTGTTGGGCTAAAATCAACTTAAATATATTTTTAATATGGTATGATATTATACGCTTTGAGCCAAGTCGCATCGTCAGATTATTTATGACAAGCGAAGCCTGCAACTAGTTCTTCTTGTGTGCGCATCTCCAAGCTCATAAGTACAAGCAAACCGAGTCCCGCACCATCACTCGGCCATAGCCATACTTGTCTCGCCAAACCTAGGCTTTGATAGCAGTCATTGGGCTAAAACGAGTCCAAATATACTTTTAACATGGCGTGATATTGTCTGCTTTGAGCCACGCCCGTACGGTTTTGTCGTCTCACACCACTAAGAGATCCCTGCATTTTATATGAAAGCTCCCAATCTTTTCAGTTACCAATGTGAGACTTTGTTCGAACAGCGATGAAAATGTAAAATGAGAGAGGTTGCCGGCCTGACTTGATTGCAGCCTGCTATGATCATATCACTAAAACCACAACGTCAATTTCTTATTATATATTAATGATATTAATCACATATTAGGAAGGTAGGTGATGAAAGTTGTTTACCCTTTTTGCCTGTTTTATAAGTCGGCAATCTTAGCACAAGAAGTAGCTGTAAATTTGTGTTTGGGATTTTTCCTTTGCTCTCTTTGTTTCCTTCTCTACTTGAGCAAAATTAAACAAAGAAATTTTTTAGATCAAACATGTGCGAGCACATTATTTTATGTCTAACTTTCGCCTTGTGAAGTATACATAATACATGCAATATGATTGTTGTGTGAGGCAAAATGTCTTGTGATTGGCTAAAGAATCTTGGATTTTAAAAGGCAAATTCTTGAGATTTTTAGGTTTTCTGAATTTGATTAATCACTAGGAAAAGATAAGCTTTTTGAGGGACAAAAATGATTGGGAGGAAACACTGCATCAAATCTCATTTTCTGGTCAACTTTGAGCAAATTAATTCTGAGGTTTAAGCACAAGTGAGTAGAACAACTCATTATATGGCTGTCATGTCAGTGTTTAGTACTTTAAAGTTCATATCTAACTTCTTTGGTGTCTGATATTTAAAAATAGGACAGACTTGCCTTTTCACAGTTAAGAGGAACAACCACATGCATGTGGATCATTTTTATTGGTTCTCTAGAAAGTATGATTTAATATTATAAGAGAAGCACTGTTCCTCATATTAATTTAATTTAATTACAAAACATAATTTAGCATAGTAATTCATAATATAAGGGCATAAGGCCATGGTAGACGACAACAACAACAGCCCAGTGAAATTTCAGTAGTGGAGTCTGGGGAGGGTAGTGTGTACGCAGACCTTACCCATACCCCGAAGAGATAGAGAGGCTATTTCCGAAAGACCTTTGGCTCAAGAGAACAAAAAGACAAAAGGAGACAATATCAGTATCACCACAGAAATCATAGGAAAAATAGGAACAACATGAAATCCAGAAGAAAGATGCAAAGCAAAAATGATAGCTAGTAAATAGGTCCGGCACTGAAACGCAAAATAGTAAGACACGACATTACCACTAGTTAGTTTAGACAAAAACCCTACCAGACTAGTCTCACAACGGTACGAAGTAAGGCAAGACTCACCTACCTACAACCCTAATACTCGACCTCTACATCTTCCTATCAAGTGCCATGTCCTCGGAAATCTGAAGCCTCGCCATGTCCTGCCTGATCACCTCTCCCCAATACTTCTTCGGCCGCCCTCTACCTCTCATCGTGCCCTCCACAACCAGCTGCTCACACCTCCTTACCGGGACATCTGGACTGCTCCTCTGTACATACCCGAACCATCTGAGTCTCGCTTCCCGCATCTTATCATCAATGAGAGTCACGCGCACCTTCTCCCGAATATCAGCATTCCCGATCTTATCCATCCTAGTGTGCCCGCACATCCATCTCAACATCCTCATTTCTGATACTTTCATCTTCTGTATATGTGAGTTCTTAACAGCCCAACACTCAACCCCGTACATAATGGCCGGTCTAACCACCGCTTTATAGAATTTACCTTTGAGTATCGGTGGCACTCTCTTGTCACACAGAACTCCAGATGCTAACCTCCATTTCATCCATCCTACCCCAATATGGTGTGTGACATCCTCATCGATTTTCCCTCCCCTCTGGATAACTGACCCAAGGTACTTGAAGCTGCCTTTACTTGGGATGACCTGTGAGTCAAGCCTCACAACCACGCCCACTTCTCCCGGCTCAGCGCTGAACTTACACTCCAGGTATTCCGTCTTCGTCCTGCTCAACTTGAAACCCTTAGACTCAAGAGCCTGTCTCCAAATCTCCAGCTTCTCGTTAACACCGGATCGCATTTCATCAATCATAACTATGTCATCGGCGAATAGCATGCACCATGACACCTCCCCTTGAATATGGTGTGTTAACGCGTCCAACACCATGGCGAATAGGAACGGAGTGAGCGCAGAGCCTTGGTGTAGCCCCATAACAACCAGAAAATGCTCAGAGTCGCCTCCTACTGTCCTTACCCGTATCTTAGCCCCATCATACATGTCCTTAATCGCCATAATGTAAGAAACCGACACACCTTTTGCCTCCAAGCATCTCCAAAGAACTTCTCTAGGAGCCTTGTCATATGCTTTCTCTAGGTCAATAAAAACCATATGCAAGTCCTTCTTCCTATCTCCGTACTGTTCCACCAACCGCCTAACAAGGTGTATAGATTCTGTAGTAGAATGACCCGGCATGAACCCGAACTGGTTGTCAGAAACAGACACTGACATCCTCACCTTCGCTTCAACCACCCTCTCCCACACTTTCATAGTATGACTCAGTAATTTGATACCCCTATAATTGTTACAACTCTGGATATCATATTTGTTCTTATACAATAGAACCACCGTACTCCACCTCCACTCATCCGGAATCCTCTTCGCCTTAAAAATAACATTGAACAACCCAGTCAACCACTCCAAACCTGTTCTTCCCACACACTTCCAAAATTCCACCGGAATCTCGTCAGGCCCTGTCGCTCTACCCCCACTCATTTTACTCATAGCTCCCACGACCTCCTCAACCTTAATGCGCCTGCAGTACCCAAAGTCACGGTGACTCTTGGAATGCACCAATTCACCTAGCATGATATCCCGATCCCCTTCTTCATTCAGAAGTTTATGAAAGTAAGTCTGTCATCTCTTCTTAATCTGAGAATCTTCCATCAATACTCTACCATCGTCGTCCTTGATGCATCTCACTTGGTCCAAATCCCGAGCCTTTCTCTCTTTCAACTTGGCCAGCCGGAATAGCTTCTTCTCCCCGCCTTTTTCCCGCAGTTCCTCGTACATACGACCATAAGCTGCAGTCTTAGCCTCCGTGACCGCCAACTTAGCTTCCTTCCTAGCTACCTTATACCTCTCCATGCACGCACGCCTCTCCTCCTTACCTATGCTCCCCACTAACTTCAGGTACGCCGCCTTATTCGCTTCCACTTTACCCTGGACCACTTCATTCCACCACCAGTCTCCTTTGTGCCCGCCAGCGACGCCCGTTGAGACCCCTAACACCTCTCTCGCAGCCTCCCTTATACAGTCTGCTGTCGTTGACCACATAGTGCTCGTGTCACCACTGCTCCTCCAAGCTCCCATAGCCGACAACCGCCCCTCCAACTCTTGGGTTTTATACTTAGTCAAGGCTCCCCACCTGATTCTCGGTCTTCCTCGAGCAGACCTTTTCCTCCTCTTCAACATAATACCAAAGTCCATCACCAGATGGAGCTAGATTATAACTTATAGGTTCGGTCGAATCCAGATGCTTTGGTCGAAACTCTTTATTTGTCTTAAGAAACATATTAATTATTTACAACTTATTAATTTAGAATCCAGTAACTTAAAAGTACTACGTAGAATCTCAAACTTATAAACTTTAAATCTTGATTCCGTCCTCTGCATAAGACGATGAAGTTGTGGAAGGTATGAAAATATGCGTGCTAATACAATAGGATAATAGGTTGTTTTAAGTTTTTTTTTTTTTTTGGCCACATTTCCTCTAGCTAACTTACTAGATGGCTGGTGAGATAGCTGCTCAACCACTTTGATCGTAAGGTGGCATATATCAAACCAGTTGGATATTTACACCAACATAAGTAAAAGATATTTACAGAATTAGATCACTTATAAGTTAATTAGAGGTAAATTTTATGATAAACATTAATAATTAGTAGCTAGTAACAATAGTTACTAATCTACTAAAAAATATTAAATTATACTAATAGTGTAAAAATATATATAATATATATTATCAGTATATGTGACACAAAACTAACCATGCATCATTGCTTAGAAGAGCTTCTAGCATGTGGCAATTTAATT